TCAACTTAGTTTTATGTGCGGCCTGGCTCAATAATTTAGAACAGTTTCCCAATCAAATTCACCCACATAGATTCGACTTTTCCTCCTCCCCCTCCTTCTTCTCCTGCTGCTGCTGCTGCAATGATAACTCGATTTGGAACTTTATAAATGTATTTTTATTAAAAGTATCTCTCTCGCCGGTATGTGACGTTGCACTATCGTAGCTCTCCATTAGAGCCAATCAAAACTCGCAGCGCATAAGCCATTGCTCGTACAAAGTAAATAATTTGTTGGCAATAACGGAAAGTTGTGCTTATCGCATTGCAATGCAACTTTAAGAACTCACTTGCCACAAATATTTCGAGCAATTTATCTAGAGTGAAAAACTTGCTCCTGCAAGCGGCCTTGCCTCCTTTCCCCCTCCCCCGCCTCCTGTTGCTGTTGGGTTTCACTATTTTTAGGGGGGGGTGGGAGATTTTATGATTGCATAACAAACTCAATTCCAGAAAATATTTCGCATGCGCTGGCAGTTGATATGCACCGAATTGGGATTTATTTATATGGAGCAGGAGTGAGACAACTATGGCCTTGTCCTGGACCAGGTGCGTCCCTGCAGCATTTACCTGGCCCCGTTTTTGCTTTCCATTTTTTTTTTGGCAAACTTGCAAAGTTGAAGATTGGAGTATTATGCGAATAGAAGGACATTGGCCCACCTGCAGCTAACCCACTTTCAAATTGCTTTTTTATTTGCCAATGGTTACGTTTTACGTTTTACGTTTACATTTTACGGCCAGAGTTATGGATATCTTACGGGCGGAGCACTGGATGTGACTGCGCTGGGAAATGGATGCGCCAAAGTAGTTTATGCAAAATTTACGAATACATATTTGCAAATGCAATGCCAAAAGTTTCAGTCCAACCCTGGTCCAAGTTTGACAGGAGCTGGCCAGCAATTAGCCGCTGGCCGGTCTAGTACTCCTCGCCGGCTGAATCCATGCAATAGCAGGCATTGGCAGTGTTGGCCTCAATCCAGCGCAGGTACCGTTGCACAGGCGTGTAGAGGCCCGGCGCCTTGGTGGCAAGTCCCAGCAGCTGATGCTGCCCCAGCTGCTCGTCGGAGAGCACGTGGAGCGAGCCGCCGCTGCTGTCGATGCTGCAGGCAGCCCCCATGCAGGTGGCACAGAGCATAGTGTCGATGGAGCTGGAGCTGGAGCTGGTGCGGTGGCATTCGGCTTGGCTAATGATGAGCACAGCGACTTCCTGTTGAGGGGCGGTGAAGGGTGTGCCGAGTGTTGGGAAGGCAAAAAATATAATTATAATAAATTGAAACGATGCCAGGGAACAGATCTAGGACAGAGACACAATCGAACAGCTAAAAAATGGTTAACTTTAGATAGGGCCTTCCACGCGAGAGCTTGAATATGAACAGCAAAGAGAACTTGAAGGAACAGCAAATGTGGGATGTGAAATTTACAGATAGAGAAACTTTCAATCGAATTGTGTTAAATCTCTGCGGTCAAAGAAATGTAGATAAGAAAGAAAACATAAAGAATTATTAGAAAAGTTGAGGCTAGCTAGTTAAACCTGCTTACTAAATATATATATTATATATACATATCACTTAATACAAATCACACCTGTAGACTTGGCACGCCAAAGGCCGCACTCTGTCTTGGCCCACTCCAGCTCGTTAGCTTGGCCCATTCGCCGTCGTAGCTGGCGCTGGCTGAGGGCAGGCAAACGGGTCGCAGACGTTGCTCAAAGCTGACAGGACGATCGAGTCGTATCAGGGCAATATCATGATCGAGTCTGTATGGTTTGTATAGCTCGTGCAGCGTCACGTGCTCGGCTCGACGTTCGAGTACCTGAGCAGCGCTGGCGCTGCGATTGAACTCCAGTAGATGCACTTGGATGAGCTCCGTCGCCAGGCCCTCCACACAATGGCCAGCAGTGAGCACGTACAGGTCGCTGATCAGCGAGCCGGCGCAGTGAAAGTCTCCGGCCAGCAGCACCATAGCCAGCCAGGGGTAATGATGGCGACTCGACGCCTGGGAAGCTTGCTGCCTGTCCAGCGTATAGATCAGTCCGCAGCGGCAGGTGGTGCATTCCCGTTCCACTGGATCCACTGACTGCAACATTGTGGCCAGCCACTGGACAAAATCCTCGCCGCCATCCACTAGAACATGGACGGAGGTGGCGGCGGCGGCGGCGAGGCACAGACTTTCCAAGACAGCGAAACAGATGAGCTGCACTCTCATCTCGTTGACCACGAAATAGTTACTGCAGCTTGGAGCTGATCTTGCTGCAGCTGAACTGGCCCGGCCACAGGCCAAGAGCGCACAGCTGACCCACATCCGCTCTTGGAATCCTGTTTTTAAATAGTTTGCTATTTATTTCTGCTTTACTACACACTACTGCGACGGCTAATCATTTATCGAATTCTATCGTTTATTTCCTGCCTCACCTGACCAGTTTTCTTTTTCATTCACGTGTCGTCTTGGGGCACCGAAAATGGCAAGTTTTTCATTTCGTTTTCGTTTCTTTCCAACGATTTTCCCAGCTGCTGCGCAAATGGATTCATGAAATGTTTGCACGCCACATACTGTGTAAATATTTTGCTTGCCCGTC